GGAAGAGAAAGGAAAAAGAGGAGGAGGAAGAGAAGGATAAAGGAGGAGAAAAAGAAGAAGAAAAGAAGAAGAAGAAGAAGAAGAAGAAGAAGAAGAAGAAGAAGAAGAAGAAGAAGAAGAAGAGGCAATATCCTATTAGCCTAGTAATAGTTAAAATCAACAGTGTCTTAGAGGAACTGGAAAAGGGAGGAAGACTGTGCTTGCATTTTGTAAGTGTTTTGTCTGTGCCTGGGGAGGGGAGTGCACTGACAGATGTATTTTACCTTCATCCTCAGACGAAGTGAATCAAAGGGTGTGGGAGTGAGCTAAGCTAGCATGAGAGAAACACAGGTGTCCTAGGCACAAAGGCATGACTCTCATGGGAGGCCCTAGATTCATACATTTAGGCCCTGGTGTTTTTTTTTTTCTTCTGTCCATCCCAATCTTACCTGTTCTGCCCTCACGCCACCAAATGGAGACTGGGGAACAAACTCTTGATGTAGCCCAGGCTGGCCTTGAACTCGCTATAGAACCAAAGATGACTGTGGACTCCTGAATCTTCTGCCTCTCTCTCAAGTGTTAGGATTAGAGGTGTGTATGGCCAAGCCTGGTTTTGTGAGGAACTGAGAACTGAACCTAGAGATTCATAGATACAAAGAAAACACTGCCAATTGAGCTATATCTCCAGGAGTGCAATTTTAAGAAGTGTGGGGCACTGATCATAGTTGCCCAGCCCTTACTCTAGGGCTCAGACCACAGAGCGTAGCTGATAGGAGGAAGAAAGCAGAGCAAGAAAGCAGAGCAAGAAGAGGCAATGGGGGATTTTTAGGCATCGTTAGGGTGGCTTCTCATATATTCACTTCCTGTTGGGTAGCTGAAGACTAGATTTCAGCAAAGGCTAGTTGTGAAGAATTCAGAACCTTTTCAAAGAGAAACTGTAAATGGTATTTTAAAATTTAAAATATTATTTGGTAACTTTTATTAAATAATAACTCTTATGAACATGACCTGGAAAGCCCCTCCCCAATAATCAAGGCAGAGTTCTATGGATTTTTAAAATCAGCTTTAGCACAATTACTAGGGATAATCCCTAAAATATTTTTCTATATGCTAGACTGTTGATTCCCAGCTGTGTTCCTCAAGTCCGTGCTGTCTGTGTCTTGCCTGGGTTATTTCTGCTCCATCAGCATGTCTCAGAGGGCGTTTCACCTAGCCATGTGCTCCTGGTTTACAACAACTAATGGAGACCTACTGTTCTCTCTGCCTTTTTTCCTTCTTCCTCCTTCTCCTGTCTCCTTCCTCCTCATTCTTCTTGTGGTCCCTACCTGTGATCCCCAGCCCAGTAACCAAAACCCCACCTACTTCTATTCTCCCCAGTAATTGGCTGTATCCACTTTTATTTAACCAATAGCTTTAAACTGTGTGTGTGTGGGGGTGGGGGCAAGGTTTACATATCGTTACTTGGCGAGCATGAAGATCTGCTCACTGGGGAAGGAGGTCGCCAGATCTGGGGGTTGGGGGGGGGGGGGAAGGAGAGGGCTTGTATTTAGCAATTGAATACATAGCAGCACCAGACCAACCCCCAATAAGGGGGTTTTCCTCCCAACTGTCAAAAGGCCACACTTCCCTTCTTCTCAGTAACAATGCCCAGAAAATACCTACAAAGAGGAGGGGAATGGGAAAGCCCTAACAGAAGCCTGCAAGGCCTCCTGAGAAAATCCTCAAGCCTCAGGCTTTCTATTAACTGAATGGTTTTATGAACTGCAGTAAAAATTTCCCATTTTGCCTAAAAGGGTTCTAGTACAAGTGCACAGGATTGCTTCTGAGAAATCCCTCTGGGCCATCAGAGTGGACTCAAGGGAAAATTCATGTAATTCCAGTGGTTTCCTAGTTTCTGCTTTTCCTCTGAAGGCTCTGTGTTCTGGTGGCATTCAGATGTCACTCTTGGCTGAAGTGGACCCCAGCAGCAGAGCATATGTCCAAGGCCTTGGGTTCCGTCTCCTAACCCCAAGTCCCATTTAGAGCTTTAACTCTGAGTGCTTTTCTACAACCCAACAAATTTCAGAACGAAAATCTTCTCTATTATTCAGACCTTAGGTGAACAAAATGTATAGAGAAACGCTTGTTTGTTTGTTTTTTTTATTTGCAATCTTTTAGAAAATCCAGTGCATTGTCTGTCCTTGGAGAGACATTTGGGTCTGGCTAAGGAGCTGATTCCTGAACCCGAAGATTTAGAGGTTTTCTTTCTGGACAGAAGAAAAGTGAGCTGTTGCTCTTCTCTCTTATTTTCTCGTAAAGGCTTCTGGGAGGGGAAGTTTAGTTAAGGAGGATATTTGCAGGAGGTTTTAGCTTAGCCTGAGTGACTCATTCAAGGTCAGGGAAGGAGAAAACGAATTGAGAATCGAGGGTGAGCCACTGCTGGCTACCCCTTAAGAGTCTCAGCCCCTCTGTGGCCTTTTGTGGATTAAAATATGGTCGGAAATTAGGGTTTTGTGATGTTATTCCCTCTCCCCTCCCCAACATTTCAGAAGAGGCGTCTTATAAACATCACCACCTTCTATCCCTGGAAGGATAGCCCCAGAAGCCACACACTGCAAACCGGCACCAGCAGCTCTCTCGAAGGAAAGAGTAAGTCTTTGACCTTAAAAAGCCTCCGAGACTGAAGGATAACTCTAATGAAAGGAAAAACTGCTCGGCTCAGGTGTCTAGACAGCTTTGTGTGTCTTGAGTATTCATGCAGGGTAGCAGTTCACATCCACCACTGAGGGTAAAGATCGCAGAGCAATCTCCTGTGTGAGTCTAAGCCTGGCTTATTTTGTGGTGTCTGCTGGGAGGTGCTGTTCTGTTTTGCTTAAGTCTTGAACTTTTTAGCCTGCTTCTAGATTGCACAGACTACACTTTCCCGACTGTTGCTTTCTCTGTACAGGAAATGTCTGTAGGGCTGGCAAGTACTTCTTCCTGTCTCTGCACTTCCATTCCAAATGGTACACTCAATATTTGAGAACCACTAACTGTCTTCCCTCTTAGCCTGGAACACACTTGTCCTCACATTTTCAGTCAGCTGGCTTAGAAGCAACGGGTCTGTCCTGAACCTTTGTCAGATATCTAAAGACTTCAGCTTATAAACTGTAAATACTACTCTTGTAAGCTTATAAGAAACCCGAGAATTCCATTTTCTTCATCTGAAGTAATTTTTCCAATATAGCAATATGAGAATTAGGAAGTAGAAAAAAACCCAAAAAAACAAAAAACCCAAACAAAATCACTAGAAACCAGAGGACTAGGACTAGAGTTGATCATTTACTTAAAATAATCAAAGTACAAGCGTCTTTATTTCTTTAACACTTTTTTAATGACCTTTTGAATATCTACAGTTGTTCTAGGCTGAGGTGATATAACAGTGCACAACAGTTCTTGAGAGAGGACAGATTATCATCCAAATGAGTAAGTTACACATGGTATTAGCAAATGATCAATCTTTGCTTTGAAGAAAAATAAGGGAGACATCGAGTCTGGTGGCCTTTGAACAAAGCCTTTAAACAGGGCTAATGTTGGCATCTGGAAGAAGTCGAATCCCACCCACGGGAAATGGCACATGCAAAGACCCCAGTAAGGTCCTCGGCAGTGAGTGAGAAAATGACAGAGCCTGGTTGGGGCAGAGCTTGCAGGACCTTGTAGGCTTTTATCAGAGGGGGATGAGGATTCAGGGATTCAGGGAAGGGCTCAAATAAAGGAGCAACAGGCCTTGGTTTGACCAGTCACTAGCTGGAAGGGACGAGGACAGGCTTAAAAGAGGAGAGAATGGCGAGGACACCACTGAAATGAGCCCAGGAATTGCTCATCCTGGAAATTATAAAAAATACTTTGGGTGTTGACAAAAAGAAAAGGTATTGTGATTATGGAATACAAAGTAAAATCAGGAAAGCATTTTTAAAACGCGCTTCGGTTGGGAGGCAGAAAGTTCAGCTTGGGAGCTACTGTGCTCCCGCATCTACTCTGATGCGATGGACTTGAGTCTTGGTGATCCGTGTTCTCCAGAATCTATCTTCTCCGGAGCTAACAGCGTTTGGCCAGTGCATTTCAAAATAAGCTTTCGTGGGCCTTCTCAGAATGTTCTCCCCTTCCTATTTTCCAAAATTGCCTGGGTGCACGTTAAACAAAACAAAACAAAACCAAAAACAGGACCCATCTCATTCTGTGATTATATCAAGACTACAGGAGGATTCCTGTGATTACCGAGTTTGGGAAGCTGACCACACTTTGAGGGGTTTGCTGAGAGCTAGAAAACATCAAAGGTCGTCCGTGAGGGCCGGCAGGTGGCGCCACATGATCGTGAGCAGCTGAGGGCGCTCAGAGGCGCAGATCGCTTGTCCTCGGGGTTGCTAGGGCCACCCTGTCAGCGCGAATCTCCAGAAGAGTCGCACGCGGGAGTAGTGGTCTGGGGGCTTGGCTAGTGTCCCGAATTGGTTCTAAGCTCTGTGCACCGTAAGCTGTCTCCAGTCCGCTCTGGTGCTCCCAGAGAAGGAGGGCTAAGCCCATTCTGAGGCGACGCGGAGCCCCGTGGAGCCCGCAAGGCCTTGCAGCAAGGACCTGAGGCCTCGCGCCTCAGGGCAGTATTGCAGGGCTGCCAAGCCGCGCGCGAGGATCTACTACAGAGACCCCACAGGGAGCGCCGCACCCGCGGACCGCTCCTTTTCATTGGCCGCCTGGAGGAAGACCACGCCCCCATCCCCTCAGCGCTCATCTTTGACTGGCTCTTGCGTCCCGAGTGGCCACGCCTCCTCCCCGCGCATACACAAGAGTCACGCGCCTTTCAGTTGGAAACTTGGCATGCTGTGGAGGACAGTGGCCCTCATCTCCCCGCCCACCTCCCGTGCCATTGGTGCGGCACGCCGACTGCGACCACGCCCCCATTCCAGCCCCCTGGCTGGGAAGGCGGGCACCCGCTCTTGATTGGCTGGCAGACCTGCCTCTCGCTGGAGAGGCTAGCACGCCCCTCCCTCCCCTCCCTCCTCCCTCGAGCCCGGGGGTTCCTCAGCTGGCTCAGTCCGAATCAGTGTCATTCAGAGAGAAGGACAGCTGAGGGCTGGGCGCGAACGCGCGGTTGCAGTCCTGCTCGGGCGCCGGTGCCTGCGCTCGCGCCGCCGAGTGGGAAGGATGAAGCCTCAGCTGGAGCAGTCACCCTATGATTGGCTGTGGCGCTTGTGAACCCGAAGTAAAGATGGCGGGCGGGCAGGCAGCCGCCGCACTGCCCACTTGGAAGATGGCGGCTCGCCGCAGCCTCAGTGCCCGTGGCCGGGGGGTCCTGCAGGCAGCTGCGGGCCGGCTGCTGCCGCTGCTCCTGCTGAGCTGCTGCTGCGGCGCGGGCGGCTGCACAGCGGCCGGCGAGAACGAGGAGACCGTGATCATCGGGCTGCGGCTGGAGGATACGAACGACGTGTCGTTCATGGAAGGGGGTGCTCTGCGGGTGAGCGAGCGGACCCGGGTCAAACTGCGGGTGTACGGGCAGAACATCAACAACGAGACATGGTCCCGCATCGCCTTCACTGAGCACGAGCGACGCCGGCACACACCCGGCGAACGTGGGCTGGGGGGCCCCGCGCCTCCGGAGCCGGACAGCGGCCCCCAGCGCTGCGGCATCCGCACCTCAGACATCATCATCTTGCCCCACATCATTCTCAATCGCCGCACATCGGGCATCATCGAGATCGAGATCAAACCGCTGCGCAAGATGGAGAAGAGCAAGTCTTATTACCTGTGCACGTCTCTCTCCACGCCCGCTCTGGGCGCCGGCGGCTCCGGGTCTGCTAGTGGAGCCGTCGGGGGCAAGGGTGGCGCGGGGGTGGCCGGACTCCCGCCTCCTCCGTGGGCCGAGACCACCTGGATTTACCACGACGGTGAGGACACCAAGATGATAGTGGGCGAGGAGAAGAAGTTCTTGCTGCCCTTCTGGCTGCAAGTGATCTTCATCTCGCTGCTGCTGTGCCTGTCCGGCATGTTCAGCGGCCTCAACCTGGGGCTCATGGCTCTGGACCCGATGGAGCTGCGCATCGTGCAAAACTGCGGCACGGAGAAAGAGAAGAATTATGCCAAGCGCATCGAGCCGGTGCGCAGGCAGGGCAACTACCTGCTGTGCTCGCTGCTGCTGGGCAACGTACTGGTCAACACCACTCTCACCATCCTGCTCGACGACATTGCGGGCTCGGGCCTTGTGGCGGTGGTGGTCTCCACCATTGGCATCGTCATCTTCGGAGAAATCGTGCCCCAAGCCATCTGCTCCCGACACGGCCTGGCGGTAGGGGCCAACACCATTTTCCTCACCAAGTTTTTCATGATGATGACCTTCCCCGCTTCTTACCCGGTTAGCAAACTGCTGGACTGCGTCCTGGGCCAGGAGATAGGCACTGTCTATAACCGGGAAAAACTGTTAGAGATGCTCCGGGTTACTGACCCCTATAACGACCTCGTTAAGGAGGAGCTGAACATCATCCAAGGGGCGCTGGAGCTCCGCACCAAGACGGTGGAAGACGTGATGACTCCCCTCAGGGACTGCTTCATGATCACAGGCGAGGCCATCCTAGACTTCAACACCATGTCCGAGATCATGGAGAGTGGCTACACTCGAATCCCAGTGTTCGAGGGAGAACGTTCCAACATCGTGGACCTGCTCTTTGTCAAAGACTTGGCCTTCGTGGATCCAGATGACTGTACTCCCTTGAAAACCATCACCAAATTTTACAACCACCCTTTGCACTTTGTTTTCAATGACACCAAGTTGGACGCTATGCTGGAAGAATTTAAGAAAGGTGGGCAATTTTGCTATTTTTTTCATTGGCTTTGCTCTTTCAGTCTCCATCCTCCTTCCTCCTTGAGTCCTCTACCCCCAGACCAACCCCCCAAGGAGAGTTGACCGGAATTTCTCCCTTTCTTAATTGCAAAGTTGAAAGGATGGCATGGACTTGGGGACGGATTGAACTAGTGAGCACTTTAAGGTTTAAAAGCCCAAGACTGTCGTTACTTTTTCACATCATCAGAAAACAGGCTTTGTAATTTCAATGCTTGAAATTTAACCCTCTAGGGACCTCTGGTCTTGAGGGATCTACTTCATTCATTGTCTGGGTTCTCAATAGGTAGGTGAAAGTACAGAGCAGCTCCCTAGATGCCCTGCGGTTACATCTGATCACAGACATTTGGAAAATATTTAAGTAGCCTTTAAAAACCCAGTGCAGTCCTTTTTTTTTTTCTCCCTTAAACATTCATGCTGGCATGTCAAAGACTGGAAGTACATTTTTTGATAGATTTTGTCCTTGACTATCTGGCATCCTGCAGGGTAGACTGAGGTCTTTGAGGGTGGAGCAGGGGTAAAGAAAGTACCATTATAAACCCCACATTATTTAGATGTGACTTCTCAGGCTGGAACAGGGGGTTTGTTTTGTTTAAAGCAAACTTAGTTATTAAATATATAACTTGGAAAGATTGGCTGTAAGTTAACTTTTTATGAGGTTATAACTGTCTCTCTTCACTGTTTCTGTTTAGCTGACAGCAAGTAAAAATCCCTAATGCAAGTGTGGTTTTGGCAGAAAGCTTGAACCTGTGACAGTGGGATGAATACCATTCTTAATTATGATTTATTTCTTGATTTTTTTTCCAGTTTAAAAGTGTTCTTTTAACCTTGATCTCTTGATACATTAATATGAAGTACGTCTCCAAATTAGCCTCCAGGCTCTAGGGTATTCGCCAGAGAGAGAGGCAAAGGCCTATTGTCCACCATGTGGATTCTCAGTGCATCATTTTCTGCATCGTGGTGTTGTCTGTCTTATTTTGTCCTAAGTAGGTGAATAGCAACTTGTACTATTATCATTGAGACACTGAGAGTTTCCAGTAAATAGCTAGTGTTGTTGAAAACCAAGGGATGCTGAGTTCTGTCACTGGTGGCTGGCATGCTCCAGCATTGCAATGTGTGTGTAACCTTGCATGACCTGAAAACTAAGTTCTCATTCTTCACATGGAATTTCTATCACTAATGGGGTCGCTTCCCCGACAAAGGCTGTGTGTACCTGGTGACAGCTCACTGGATGGAATTGTGTAAAGATACAGCGTGCCTGCTTGTCCTCACTCCCTTTTCTTGGATGAATGGTGTCCTCTCTGGAACAGGACCACAATGCAGTAATTTTCATATAAAAAAAATAGAGCAGAATGTGCTTCAGGGCTTAGTAATTTGCATTTAAAAGCAGGAGGAGAAAAAGAAAATGTCCAGTATCTCTAGCTCCAGAGCTTTTGGGGTATGGGTTCAGTGCCAAAGCTGCTTATTAAGAGCATTGAACTAGTGTCTTCCTTCACTCTGCGACACAGGGAGATGTCTTGAAATGCTTGAGGGTGCCTCTGAGTTCCCAGTGCTGGTTCAGTGTCCTTTGCTGTTCTTGCTGTTCAGATTTTTGCATATCCCCTTATAGATTGCTAATTCCAGGCTAAGTCAGGCTTCACGATGTGCACCTGTATCGCCAGCTACTTGGGAGGCTAATGCTAGACAAATAACGCGTAATACTTCACTTTAGTTCTTATCCGAGGAGATATGTGGCATTTGGTTAAAGTAGAGCAAAGGGCAGATACAGTTAGTCTACTATTGGGAGAAGCAAAGACAGTTGGTGGCAAACTGGAGATTTAAGCCGTCTTTAAAAGAACAGAATGGCTGTTTGCTACTTAAAGAATAGGAATAATTGATTTTTAAAATATTCCCTTTGATTTTTAAGAAATTGGTTTGGTCAGTTTAACTTTACAGTTAGTTACATCAATTCTGTTTTTTTTATTAAAGATTTATTTATTTACTTTTATATGATTATGTGTGCACCTGAGCATATGTATGCGCACCCTCAGAGGTTAAAAGAGCTGTCAGATCTCCTGGAACTGGTTACCAGGCAGTTGGGAGTGGAGAGCCATGTGGGTGTTGGGAGCCAAATTCAGGTCCTCTTCGTGAACAGTAAGTGACTACTGAGCCATCTCTTTAGCCACTGGTCTTTTAGAAAAAAAGTTTATGAAACCACACTCAACACTCAAAAAAAGAAAAAGAAAAAGAAACACAGAAATTGAAACAATGACATTTGTATTTTGATAGCAATATATTTTGACAAAATAGAAAAATATATTTTGTATTAGTTATACCAATGATCTTCACAATATTCTTCATTCTCTGGAGTAGTAAATACATTCATTTAAATACTGTAAGTGGTGCTATATTTGGTACACTAACAGGAGGTGATAATTAAATTTACAGGTACTTTTTAAAGCAGGTGTTAATATATTGCCCAGGTATTAGTTCTTTTTAATGTGTGAGTTAAAATTGCCCACCTGGTTTCTTTTCATGATTTTTTAATTTAGATGTAACTTTCTCTAATGCATTGGGGGTTAAATTCATGGCGTCCATGGTAGGCAAGCCCTTCACCAGTGGGCTATACCCTGAGCTTCCTGAAATTACAAAAAGATTTTTTAAAAAGTTTATTTATTCATATGTGTGTGTGTGTGTGTGTGTACAGAGAAAGAGAGAGAGATTTTAGACAGAGTGGGGGAGGGAGAAGAAGAGGGAGAGAGAGAGAGAGGAAGAGAGAGAGAAAGAGAGAGAGAGAGAGAGAGAGAGAGAGTGAGAGAGAGAGAGAGAGAGAGATCAGAGGACAACTTGTGAAAGTTGGTTCTCTCCTTTCATCCTGGAGGTTGAACTTCGGGCTCAGGCTTGGCGGCAAGTACCCCTGTGGGTTGAGCCACCTCACTAGCTTCTGCCGCATCTGTTTTTTTGTGTTTGTGATAAAAAACCCATGGTATGTGGGGTGCTCTGGAAACTTTCTTCTTCTGTTCCCCCTCTTATCTCCATTTCTAAAAAACAGAAAGAGAACAAAACCAAGACTCCCCCAATCCAACTATAACCCCAAACTGGTTAGATCATTAACCCAGATCTCATTGGATTTTCCCTGCAGAATTAAGCTGGTCTCTGATGAAGCTTTTCTCATTGCTGTTGATAACCAGTTTGATTAGTTTTCCCTGAGGTGGTGGAGATAGAAGGTTCAGGAGTTGGAAAGACATGCTACTTTTGTGTAAGCATCTTTAGTGTCTTCTTTCTAGTGGTTAGAACTTTTAAAGTTTGTCTACAGCTAGCATTAGCCTAGCTTGAGGGGAAAGGCAGTAATACTTATTCTGTAGTCTGATCATCATGGTGATGATAAAGACGGGTTTGTGCCTTTACTACTGTCTGCCAGGCACAGGGCTGAAGGTTCTTCAAGAAGAACCTTGTTGAAATCTCATGATGTCTGAATGGAATGTTATTCCTATTTTACCAATGAGGACAATTGAGGCTTAGATTGAATGATTTCTTCAAGGTCACATAGTAATTCACCGATTTGGGTTTTTACTCATGTCTGTGTGACATCAGGATTAGCTGGGTTGTTTGTTTGTTTATCCCATGTGCTAAGCTACACCTCTAGCCCCAAAACTCACTGTCTCAATTATTCTCTTATACTAGCTTGAAATGCTGATATTGGCATTATTTTAAATTCATTTATTTTATTTTATGTATGAGTATGTGTGGGCACTATGCTCATTCCTGGTGTCTGTGGAAGTCAGAAGAGGGCATCAGCTCCCCTGGACCTGGAGTAATGGATGGTTGTGAACCACTATGCAGGTGTTGGGAACTGAGTCTGGTTCTCTACTAGAGTAGTACGTAGTAGTTGTGGTTAAGTGCCCTTAACCACTGAGCCATCTCGTCAGCCCCAGTGTTTCTGTTTTAATGGGTGTGAGATTTGGACTTTTGTCAAAACATTGCCTCAGAGCCTATTGGGTAATAAACCTCTACATGTGTTTATAAGAAATGCTATTTGTTGTTTTTAGAGCCAGTGCTTTGGTGATAGTGGGTAGGGGTTGGTGCCCTCTTTTTAAATATTGTAATATACTGATGCTTTTGCTTGTGTAACCCTAATACTAAGAAATTCTTTTTGAAAGAGTTACACATCAAGTACTGAGATTCTTTTGGCGGATTTTACAGTAACATTATACTGCCTTAGTATGCTGCTTTAATGGCTGCTTTACAGCTGCTTTATTATTGTTATTATTGTATTATTGTATGCATATGTATATGAGTGTTTGTCTGTGTGTATGTCTGTGCACCACGCGCATGCCTTGTGCCCGAAGTGGTGGGGAGCCTTCATGTGCATGCTGGGAATCTAGTCCTGGTCCTTTTGAAACAACAAATACTCTTAACCACTGAGCTACCTCTTCATCCTAATTTGTCAGACTCCGTTTTCTGTTTCAGCCCTGATTTTATCTTTTTTTGTAGCTGCCATATTAATGTTTGGTTGCTAATGGGCATCCTTTTCAAGCCCACTCCTCACGCCTCCACCAGTCATTAGTCCTGTAGTTGCTTATAGATCAAATAAGAAAATAAGCTCCTAAATTCCTGTTAGCAGATGGTGAGAATGCTAGGAAACAGTGAGAGCAGACCAGTGCAGTGGGAAGAAAACTCCAGCAAAAAGCTGCGTGTTTTGTGCGCAGAAGCCTGTCAGGCTCCTCCTTTACCTGTCATTACCTTCTTATCAACAGAGTGGACTCTAGCTAGCTACACCACAGTGACTTTGAAGAAGTCCTAACCAGTGTTTGTCTCTTTCTTTCCTTTTTTTCTTTGTAATGATTGCATTCCAGTATTGCAGGACTCATGGTTTACAGCTGCTTAGGACTTGGTGGGAGTCTTTTCTGCTTATTTTTTAGTTAGAAACAGGTGACTATCTAATGTTACACATGCAAGGGTGTATGTGTAATTTGCATTGAA